ATATATATATATATATACCAGAAGTTATGATCACAAATAATCGAACATGAATTGACGCGTGTGATGATTGGACGTTGAGGAAGCACTGCGTGTTCTGCACACAATTAGGTCATTGTCCTTCATTTATACTCGCAACCGGCGAACGTATCATCGAAGGCCGAAACGTTGTTCCTCCTACTCTGATGGATAACAGCTGCTTCAAAACGCGGAATGTAACCGGGAAAAGTCATAGATTCCACGAAATTCATAAGAATTCCAAAATTCTATGATTTTTCAAAGTATCAAGCAAACTGTAATGAAATTAATTGTATGTAAATAGATATCTTTTCATCTTTTATCTTCTTTCTTCATTTTCTAAATATTTTCCAACAGATAAAGTTGGTAATAAAGTAGATACAAAAATAGATTATCATTGATGTTAACATTTTGATTTGTTTTGTTAAAAATTCTTTAATTTTTTGAAATTTATTCGAATTTTAAAATTTTTTTTTTATAAAAGTTTTTTTTAATTTACTTTCTTTTCTCGTATGCATACTTCTTCCGACTTAAAGAAGTAAAGTCATGTATAGTGAACGTCTTCCAGAAACGGTACTTTGACGAAGACGCCTTTAGAGAAAAGAAAAGATAACACGAAGTCTATTTCGATATCTAATCTTACATCAGTTTCAAACCAAAGTCAATGTATGAACAATTAAAATAGTAAATTTAGAATTAATATTCATAAGAACGTTAAGTCAACAATTTATCGTTAATGACATCCGATTGTTTCGATGATGCATGACTCTTTTGTAAATCTGTTACAATCAGCCGAAAAGGAATTCGATGACAGGAAAGTCGATTTGCGATTGTATCAAAGGCCCTTTGCGAGTCGACAGATGGACAGAACGATCGAAGACCGGTCAAACGCCGTTTCTCTCCATATCCTGCTACTGGATTCCCTCGTGAGGATATACCTGTGTGCGTGGATACGCACGAACCAACATGTGTGATCCAGTGACCCACTATATTCATCGGTAGCTACGTGAGTTTATGACTAAAATTATGCGACCATGCTATTCAATCTTTTACAAATGAAAGGAGAACTTTTGCATTTCGATATTTTATGATTTGTATTATATTATATTATATTCTTTCCGTTCACAAGATTTGTAGATATATAAAAAAACATACATTCTTTGATACGAATCTCTTAAGAACTTTTTAATACTTTTATCTTACTTCATTTCTTTCAAAATTCTTAAAATTATGATAATACTTATATGAATAATAATTTAAATTTTAAAAAATATTTTATATAATAATTTTATACATCTAAATGTTTTATCAGATATAATTAAAAAAATATATACAAGGAAAGGATATAAAATATAAAGTATAAGATATTTGAAAAGAATCGATGTTACTTAAGATTGAAAGTTCATTGCACTCAATGTGAAGGTTGATGAAAGGAGATCGAGACTGGATGTTACTTCAGACGCTTTATTTTCGTGAATATATCATTCATTACTCTTTATATTCGTTTATATTGACTCAGATTAACGATAGATTCTTTTCAATTTTTTCTCATTTTTTTCTTTCTGGTATATATCAATTAATTATTTATATCTTTTTCTTTTTTATAGAAAATTTCAATCTATGGATAAAATTGAAGATATAAAGAAAGATTGGAATAAAACAAAATCAATTTAAAACAAAAAAAACAATATCAGATTCATTTATTAATATTCTATTTATACAAAAGTATATACATTACGATGACTAATTAGAACTATATCGCGTTACAAATATTACGATATCTATAATTATAAATTCTGAAGAGCGTTAAAAAAGAGGAAGGAAGGTTAAACTAGTTACTCTCATTGTTATGGCCTCCTTCATTGCATAAAAGTTTCTCGAGCTTCATTTGCATTTGTACGCATAATGAATTCGTTATATACTTTCATACACAACATTCATCTTCTTCTTAAGAATTAATAATCAATAAGCATCATATAAAAAGCTCTAAAAACAAACTAGACACAAAAATTGTACCTTAATGTTGCAATCATACACAAAAAAAAAAAAAAGAAAAAGAAAAAAACTTATTAGCGATTCAACATATATCACAAGATAAAATCAACTATAATGAGTATCCTCTACATTGACTCATGCTTGTAACTCAAAATTCAACATCATTCATCGTTTTTTAATTTACACGTTGGACCGCTTTCTTTTTCCAGAATAATCCCAAGAAGATTCGTCCATGAATGATTTCCGTTGAATCCATCCATGAAATTTCTTAGTCTTCTTTTGTAACGAGGCGAAAGCCGCAACACGGATGGATACATATATACGTAGGTAGATAAATTATGCCTAGCTAATTCTCAATTGAGTAATATAACACACCCACTTAATTCTTTTTCCACTCACTTTAGTTTCAAATTTTAAAGTTAATTCTTTCTGTGTTTAGTACGATAATATCGATGTTTTTTAAATCCATTGTGCGGGTAATAATGCGCATAAGAGTAAACCACTGGAACATAAAATATTGAATTTAATATATATAATTTTTGTGAATTATCACAAAAGAAAGACATGGTGTTCATTTAACTATAAAAAGCAAAGAAAAGCACAACTAAACACATATTGTGGCCAAAGACACACAAGATGCCAAATATCATGCAGATATTATAAAACCAAGTGATACAACTATTAAAAGATAAAGTTAAATATGGGCGATTCAGACATCAAACATATAAAGATACAGGTTTAAAATTCCATTATTGATCGTAACATAATTCAAACAAACAAAAAAATTATTTCTTTCGTATTATTTTTAATTTAACACAATTAATCACGTGCAAAGTGTTCACGGTAAATAAAATTTCACATCTAACATACATTATTCTAATTACCTGTCTTTCAATTTACCCTCTAGGTAGTCTCATACGGTGAACAAATTCGTTTATGGATCTTCTTCTCTGTCCACTACTTTTTCTCTGATACAATCCATGCATGTTGAAATTAGTGAAAGGTTGAATCAATCCCTGATTTTGCCAATATGGAGTCAGTAGTGGTATCTTTAAAGGCCCCTGTAGCATGGAGTAAGAATATGGAAGCAATGGACTCTTGGAGATGTTTGCAAGAGATTGCAATTTGGGCAATTCCGCGGATATTTTAATCGATTCTATTTTAGGATTCGTATCTATCGATAAGCTCGAGTACACGGACAAATCGTTGCTAGACATATCACTCTTTGGAAAATGCAAGTTTCCTTTATCAGGGATAGAATATTGAATGTGTATAGGTGGATACTCGATGCTCTGTTGAATCGTGTACGGTGCATGAAGATTCGATGGAGGACTGGGAGCAAGTGGAGGATAGATTGGATAGTCGTATCCATTTTGATCATTCGACGAATGTTGAATCATAACGTCGTAGCTGGATGGCAATGGAGAATTGGAGTTCACTTTGTGGTCGTCTTGATTAAAATGATAATTCGGTATCACGGTGTTCTCGATATCTTTGTGAGGTAATTCAGGTGGTGGCCCGTAATAATCGTCTTCCGGATGCGTCACAGCAGGTTTTCGAATTTCCAAGTTCACAGTGTGGTGATCATGGTTATCAGGTTTCGTCGGTTTCGCAATAAGTAGGCCCGCCTGGTCTTCGACTGTAAACGTAACGTCTGTCAGTCGAGTCTAAAGTTAATCCTTCGTTTCATGATATTAAAGTGATCTTCGAATATTAAATATGTTTATAATATGTTCTGATAAAGATTATTGTTAAAAATTGTTAATTTTAATTGTTAATAAATATTTCTTTTTATTAGATTAGAAATAGTAAGATAGATAATAGCAGAAATAATAGTTTGTTTTCTTTTTATATAAATATCCGCTTCCTGTTTTAGTTCAAGTTTTAGTTCATAAAACGAAAGGTAATTCATTTAATATTTTATTGCCATGCCGTTTCGTATTTACAATGTATGAGTTAAGTATATTAGTACGAATGTCTTTGTATAAGTTTTCTTATTTATTAACTTTTATTGTTTTTGTTCTTAATAATTATGTACATTTTATTTGTACAAGTATATAAATCTACTTTATAAAAGAATCTTTGAACAGATTAATTTTTTTCAGAGAAAGCGTTATATAATGAAGAATTTGATTTATCAGAAAAATTGAACAAGAGCAAAAGTGAATCGATTTAAGATTTTGAAAATCAGAAGGAGGAAAAAGAAGAAAGGAATAAGATCGTTCTCAGAAGATTGGAAAGAGAATAATTGTAGAAGAAAGAAACTTATCGTTGGAATGTGAAATTTAACAAAGAAGCAATCATGATAAGCAAGGGAAAGTTCACAGAGACGATACGAAATTTGAAATATATTTATATTATACCGAATAAACATAATGACCGATGCAGAATTCAAGGCGCTATTCTTCTGTAGACTCTTCTCTAGTTTACTCGTCTTCATACACGAAGGAAAGTTCCAAAGATTAGAATCTTGTTTGAAAGTGAAGATCACTTTTACTTTATTTTAAAACGTAACGCCTCTTCCGAGATTCTACGCCTCTCACCGAATTTTTTCACACACGAGAGCACACATATATACATACATTCATCGAGCATATCATACATTCGAAGCAGAGATATAAGCGTATTTATTGCCCATGCATTCCCCATAAAAATTTAATCATTATTGCCAGATCTCGTTTTGTGAATCGAAAATTAACAAAAGCAAAAAAAATATTAGTATTGCTGCACTGATACTAAAAATATGTTTTAGCGATTTTAAATTAAGTCTTACTATCCGAGGATTCATAATTCGCATTTTCATGATATCCGTGGTGCCCGCTATATTCCTCGTGATCGGGTGGAGGAGGCCCTTCGTAAATATCTTCGTGACCTGTTTCATTTCATTAAGATTTTAATTTTTTAAATAATTACGGAAAATTGCATTTAATTAACTATATATTTTTTTGTTATAGGTATTATGAAATTATGAAATTAAGTATCTAAGTTAACAAAAAATATATAAACAAAGTTTAAGTTAAAAAAGAACTTACTAATTGGTGGAGGAGGATGATCGTACAAATACATGGGAGGGGGTGATTCCGTACGAGGTTGCACGGCACTCTTAGCGATATTTCGACCCAATGTAGTGATCACATCCCCAGTTTTACTAATTATTTTTCCCTTTGAAGAGACAAGGTAACCGCTTCCTTTCAATAGCTGACCTTTCAAAGCAATCACACCGCCACTTATAGCTTTTACGGCTTGCATTAATGTGCTAACGATCGCCTTTTTGAAGTCCCAAACGTCGAACACCTTTTCGCCATACTATCATAGAAAAATTTCATTAACGAGATACGTGCGCTCAAATTAATCGAGATGCGATTTATGCTTTACTTTATTGATTATTATATTGCACGATACAGATTCTTATAAGAAAGTCTTTATATATAATAATAGTAACTATTTGTACTAATGTACATTATACTATAATGTTAATTATTTTTTTCATAAGTTTTTTTTTTATAACAGGCATTAAATTTTTTGATTAATGTTAGATAGAAACGCTTTTTGAAATTTTTAAGTTACAATTTGATATTTTTTTGATCGTTGCTTTTATAGTGCAAATAAGATTCGAATTATTACAGATTAGAACGATCGGTGATGACATATCACGGTCGACCTGTTTTCTTCGATGTCGATTATTCGAACATAAGTTATAATTTCACGATGGAAATTATAAATTTCTACGACTTCGTGGACTGATTAATCGTGAAATTGCTTGTACGAAAAAAAATCTGTGTTATTGAGCTATTTTATCTAGATCACAAGATAATACAAATTTTTAAAAAATGTGCAATTTCCAAGAACGAAAGATAGAAGAATAATTTAGAAGGATAAGAGTATATCATCCAACGTTTATTTCCATCGTGAAATTTTTTCCTGAAATTATACGATCAAATAAGAAGCATGCGAAGACGAGAATCAGCTTAGATTTCCCTCCTTAATTGCAACCTAAACGGCCCATATAAAGATTTTCTTTCGTGCAGCTAATGTATCTATATATATAATATATCTATATATATCGTTTATACTATTCTTCTACTATCGGTTGTTCTGTCCTTGTTCTTGTCATGTTATAGTAAATAAGTAGAGTTTGAGTATAGTCTACGGGTTCGTTAAAAGATTTCGATAAATTTCACGCCTCTTAATCGTGAAGATTTCGATAAATATATGTAAAATATTTCTTATATCTTTTCCCTTAATATCAAATATAAATAAACTTTCTATGCAGATGAAATCACTTTCACTCGTGGCAGATTACGTAAAATTCATTATAAATTAAACGATCTTTAATATTATTTTAAAATACCAGCATTTATAATATCGATTCTTATCTTTTTATAAAGATATGAACTTTCATCTATAATATGAATTTCCGTACATAACTCGTTTTATATTTTTTATATGGAAACCCAAATTTCTCTTTCGTTTCTCGCCAAAAAAAAGAAAAGTATTTCTTCGATATTTTTAATAAAATATTAAATAATCGTAAATTATTTCAACTGAACCCGCTGCTGTACGCTGAAATCTCCAATATCCGAATTAAGAAATATACGTATAGTCGAATAAGAGAAATTTTTAATAGAAGAACGTATCTCGTTTTGATAATTATTATTCCAAATTTTTTTTTTTATTAATGTTTTCTTCGATTCCAAATTTTTTTTTTGATTAATGTTTTCTTCGATGCCAACGTTACATCTATAATATTGATTAAACTAGGAAAATAATATTATCCTTCTTAGTTTAATTCCTCCAGGTACAATTTCACAGGAAAAATAATCTTTACCAAAAAGGACAGTGAAACGTTCAATTCAGACCATTCGAATAATAGAATTGCGGATAATGGAGATTCTAACGCAATTGTAACGACAATCTTGCGAGTGACTACATAGTTACCGAGTAAACTTGTCCATATTCCGGCCTTGGCTTTGGCTTATCACCACTATTCGAGCTTGATTGGACGCTTGACTGAGAACTCGAGGCCGAGACCGAAGATGAACCTTTCGATGCGCTTCCCGATGCACTGACGAGGCCACCGATAATGCCTTTGGCTATACCGCCGATCAAACTCCCAGATCCCTTTAAGATCGATCCAGAATCGGATCCGGACGATTCAGGTTTCCCATATTGATCTCCGTACTCTGGCGCGTACTCTGCGTATTCCTGCGGCGGATATCCGCTAGTTGGTGTCTCGTATCCATCGTGACTGTACGTTTCGCGTTTCGATCCTGATCTTTTATTGATATCTTTATCCTCCACCAACGCCATGTACTTCTTATTTGCCAGCATCTCGATTATCTCTCGACTCCCGCCAATTTTCTCTATGATGTCCTTCTGCACGTTTTCGGGAAGAAGCCAATAGATCTCCAAGATCTTTTCCTCGTTGAACGCCCTGATTTCGGGATCCTTGGCCGCATTCTCGAGCAATTGCCACTGTTCGTCGGATATTGGTTGCTTGTTGTCGTGCACTCTTCGATAGGGGGCCAATCGTTCGAGTTGTTTCGACGCGCGTGCTTTTAAATCTTGTTCCTTCGTGCTTTTCGCGCTTTCTGTACTTTCCGATAGTACAACGACGATAGAACAGTAGCTGAGTGCAAGCAGTGGCAGTAACTGAAATAAATGTGTAATCGATACATCGTTTCGTTAATATTTGTTAATTTTGTTTGTTTAAGTTTTCTTGGGATAAATGGAAGATATCTGCGACGTAGGAAGGAGATAATTTTAATTTAAAAGGATATTTTTTTGATCAATTCGATAACAAACGCGTAACATATTGGCAAGATCTATAAATCAGTGAAGCATGCAGTATAGGAACGTGAATGCAACAAGTGGAGCGGTTCTTGGTGAAAGTCATACGAGGATTCCGTTTTAGATGTCCATGCTACCATCACGAAGAACAACGATCTTGACAGGATTGATTTTATAAATCGAGAAAAAGAAACGAAGAAATTGAAAACGAGAAATTTCAAGTTTCACGGTAATTATATTTTTAATATTTTATGATCCGATTATGATTTTTTTATGACAATACATAAATATTTAACAATTTTTTGTAATTTCAATTTTATAATCAATTTATGTTTTCAGCGGAAATCTTAAACGATTTAATTGCAATAATTGAAATAAAGAAATGAATTTCAACGTTCATATAAAAATCCCAACAATGATTTTTTTAATCTAGACATTAAAAACAGAACATTTCATTTATAAGTTTGCAACGATAAAATCTAAAAAAAAAAAGAATATAATAATGTATTTCTGTTTGAATTAATCATTTAAAGGAATTTTCTCAGTCGGATGAAAGTGATCAAAGCGTCCTTGCTCTTGGAGCTAATGTCAATGCTCGACCTAGTTACCATACGCTTCTCAGCCGCTGCGCTTATCATGATTTCTAAAAATCCATTGGCCGGTATATCGTAGAAATATCACTTTATATTATGGATTTCTCATCTTTTTGAAATTAAACTCTTCAATTAGAAGAGATGATTGGAATGATTTCCGGTTATACACTGAGAAACACTTCCGGTTATACACTGAATCAAAATTAGTATACATCTTTCATCATCCATTTCTACTAACTTTCTTCTCAATAGACTTTGCACTATACTATTCGATGGATCACTCGATTCGCGTTTCATTTCATCTTATAATCCAAGTCAACTTTCACGACATTTTTGTGATTTTATTTAATCATTTATATATTTCTAAGAAAAACTTTTTTCTACATTTTTTTTTTCAAGTGAGAGATCTTTTCACTATTGGAGAAAAGCTTATGATTGTAAAAAAGGAAACATGTCTAAAAAGTCATGCTACAATATAAAAAGAAATATGTGTTTGAAGGAAAAGATAATACGAAAGTTTGAAAGACATTAAGAGCTGAATAAATAGAACAAAAGAATGTAATTTTTTCCGGACAAATAATCGCTCTTTAATGATAATGATCCTCGTGTTTTTTTTACACTTTTACTTTCTATAGAGCATGAAGTATGAAGTACGGATAAACTAATTTTCTCCATTGTTATGTATAAATCTTAAAAGGAATGTACCCCCGAGAATTTATGAAGCAACGTGTTTTACTTTCACATAAACCACGATCTACTCTCGATCTTAATACAAGAAATGAACCGCAAGAAGATCTTATAGATGATTTTCTAATAATAGATATTGATATTGCACTATAATTAATGATAATTAAATAATCTTTCATTTCAGACTTTGTGTATTATAAATCTTGACTTCAACTTTCTCTATATTGTTTTGATTTTCAAAACATAAATTTAAAGTAACATTGAATTTAATTAAGAAGAATGAATAATGAATCTATCGCAAGTTCAATGATTAAATGCATATTAAAACTGATGATTCGAGTGAAAGATAGGATGATATTTCGATAGGAAAATTGACACTTCACACATAAAACAAAGGATGCACAATGATCTTGAAACGGGTACCTTCATGGTTGACTTTCACAGTAGATCGGTAAAAGGATCACGGCACTCTCACTGAACTCACTGGCCATCGCCATCGAGTATTTCCTCTCTTTATACCGGCTCCCACCTTTTTAGCTTTACGGGAGAACGCTGCCCATCGCGAATCTTTTTTCTATCAAAATTTTGATTGATATTTTTTGNTATATATATATATATATATATATATATGAATATGTTTTATATATGAAAATCTATCTACTTTTATCAGATATAGATATCTAAAAACTTAAATGAATTTTTAATCTTAATCTTTTAAATAAGAATATTTTATTTTTCATTCAATTTAATTTAATCAATCTTTAAAAAATTTGTTTATTATGAAATATATTTCTATTATGAAATGAAAAATTAAGATTTATCTAATAATTATGATGTAAGATTGTAGTTATTAAGTTTTTGCTTTCTAGATTTTGGAATCGATATTAATCATTTATTTTAATCGTTGTATTTTTGTTTTTAA